CCGAGACACCCCAGAAGATCTCGGCCGGTGAGCAACAGAAGCAAAGGTTGTTTTATAGGAGTTTATAAAACATCTCGGCACCTGCTTGCTAATAGCTTTATACTGCCAATCTGGAAGAGCAGCGTTTCATGAAGCAAGGAAGAAAGGGACATCAAAAGGTGTCTGCCAGCGCTCACGTTGGGAAGTGAAGTGTTGTCCAGGTAAGCACCCACTGGCTAGTCACTGCAGAGGACACCCTAAAGGGACGGTCTGTCCAGAAAGTGCTGAAAACCCACTAACAGGCCATTTAAGGTGCCTCAGGTTGGGAGAGAATATTTAAATCGATGGAGGCTGGTTGCCTAACCACCCCATCTCCCCCCAAAATTAGACACTTACCATCCCTTGAGAGTCCATGCTTGCAAACAGAAGCACATAAGAGTTCACCTGCTGTGTAATCTCCGCCTTCGCTGCTTAATGCATATTGCATTGTCCTGCGGAGGCAGTTGGGAGGGAGGCACCACCAAGTCAGCAACGCCTGCTTTTATTCTCAACCACTGAGTCACCGGTGGCCATCGGACACGATGCGAGGAGCACAACTTCCCCTCTACACCATGCCTTAAGGTAACAAAAAAAAAAAAAGCAGCACTTGCATAGCAATTTCCGCTGCTGCAAAACACTGGATCCAGCCAATTTAGAGCCAGAAACCTCATTTAGGGGGAAAGAGCAAACAAAGAAACAGCCGTTTGGTAACAGTTGTATTGGGCAATCCGGGAGTGGCTTTGAAAATACGATGCACCAATTAACCAAAAGTTGAATCTCATCTTATGCCAGGAGCTCATGTTAGAGGCTCAGGATGTGTTTTAAACCACTGAAGTCAAGGCTTTTAATCCTTACAAAGGCCACTGAAAACCAAAGCGTGGACATTCCTAGGATAAGAGGTCTGGATGTACGCCGTACAGTACAATAGTGCATTGTGAGCCGTCTCCAACGTTCGCTTGCTGTACGCTGAAGTCGTGTGTTATAATTAATGTAGAACCGCCCCACGAGCCATTTCATTGGCGTGCCACACACCCAAATTAGCGCGCGCTCACCAGCTCACACAAGTCCGTTTGCAGCAAGCATCCCCGATTGAACAGACAGCCCTATTATTATCTGCCTGCCTATGAAGTGGGACCAACTGCACCAAAACAATAGTGCCATGCAAGTCTGCACTGCTTGGTGACAAGGGAAAATCCCAGACCCAAGGCTTGGTAAACACTCAGGACTAAGCCATGTGCTTCAATGCCTTATTTCTGCCCTTTAAGTAACTTCAGATCTTAACTCCTCAGTCAACATCCTTTCCGAAATGCCGTGGTTTGGTTTTATGCTACTAATGGCAGCAAAAGGCTGACTTCTATTTAGTGGGCCTGGGTGTAAAGAAGGAAGAAGATGCTAAGTTTTGCTCAGCAGCCAGGGAATTGCATAGAAGCCAGTGGTTTTCAACCAAAAGTGGGCAATTATTTGCCCCCTCATCCCCCCTGCAACAGCCCAGGGACCATGCACCCTACAACTCCTCCCCGCCACCAGTGCCCAGCAGCAGCTCCTCCCCACTATCCCGCTGGGCAGCCCGAGGCGACGCTGATGGAGGTAGCGACAGCGGTGGAGAGGAGATGCAGCCTGGGTATAGGCTCCGGGCAGCAAGAGTGGGGAGAGGGAGGCAGACGCTTTTCCCCTGCACCGAGCAACAGCTTTTGCCTGGCTGCAAGCGCTGCTCAGCGTGGGCACGCGGCTCGGAGCAGGCGCAGGGTGGGCGCCGTGCATGTAGGTCCTGGCTGGTCTGCTCCAGCCAGGGAGAGCGTGCAGGATGGGCCGAGGCCGGGGCTGTGCACATGGGTCCCCGTCATTCTCCACGGGACTGGGACCAGCAACAGCTGGAAGGACTCCTACAAGTGGAGTCCAGTCGCGGAGCCACCCCAGCCCCACTGCATACCTGGGGGTGGCCAGCTGTGCCATGGGCCAGGTGGGCCCAAGGCACCCTCCACAGGCCCACCCGTTTCACATAGATAGGAACAGGACTCAAGGTGAGGCGATAGCGATGCCAACAGATGCCACTTTAAAAAGAGAAGCCAAAAGGAGAATTCAGTACCCTAAAGTTGCAAAAGACCTGTTCCACGCTGAATTTGGGGACCTTTAGCAGTACCCCGAAGATGCCTAGATAGCCCATTTGCACCTGCTCAGCAAGACAGGGCCCCTAAGCTGCAGGGAACATGCAGTGCCACACATCTGCCTTTCCATCCCCAAAGGCCATGAGTATTTTCCCTTGCAGCCGAGATCAACAAGGACAGGGTTTTTATTAATCCCACAGCCATTTCAGGAGGTCAGAGGAGACTGCATTACTGGAGCACAGAGAAGGGGCTTAGGAGTTCACCGCCAGCATCAGATCAGCGCATGCAAGGTACCAAGTCACACGGCCCTCGGGTTCCCTACAGCACTTGACGGAGCCTCATCCGACAGACCGCACAACAAGTCAGCACGGGAAATGCTACCAAATGCCAGAGGCTTCAACGGATCCAAGACAGTCGGTTTCAGTTTTTGTCTGCTCTTTAAAAAAAACCAGATCTGGACACCAGAAATCCCACTTCCCAGAACAGAGGCCCCAGCAGAAATCAGTGCCAGAAATAAAACCGAGTCAGTGCCGCTGACATGATTCACGGACAAGCATTGTATACATGTCGGCCACCACCGAGTGCGCGCAGTGGGGGCGGAGATGTTTCGGCTGTTCCTTCTGCTCGCAGATTTGGAGGCCGGGACGTCAGGATGTCGTTGGTGCACAGTACCGTAGTGTACGCTCGAGAGCCACACCACAAAAGAAGAGTCCCTAGACTGCGCCCTGCTAGATGTCCCCAAACTCGGGTCTCTTGCTACATCAGGAGGGGGGTTAGGGCCAACACTTCTAGTCTTTACTCAGCAATTACTACAGGATCTTTGCCCGAATAGGAGCCACAGGCTTGGGCAAGGTAAGCGTAAAGAAGCACTGGCCTACCTTCAAGAAAGTCGAGGACACAAAACTCATTCCACTTGTTTGCATTAGGGTCTCGGACGTGATCAGTGTTTCAAGCCGGCTTGCTCCCTTGCCAGGGCAGACAACCCTTCAGTGTACAGATCCTTATAAGGCTACAAATGTTAAACAGCACAAGGTTTACAAGGCAGGCCAAGGATCCCAGCACTTGGGATCCAGAAACAAGCCCAGCAAGCATCTGCTTCAGCCGATTTTCAAAACATCCCACAATCGGCCTCCTCGGCTTTACAATCGGTCACCATTTGTGCTTTTGAGAGGTGTCGCTCAGCAGACTTGGAGCAGGCGGACACAGCGCAGCCAAGGGATCTCCAGGGCAGCTGAGTTCAGTCTGCTGCTATTGCAGGCACCATGGCAGGGAGGGGATAGCTGGTGCTTCACTTCAGCTTTGCTGGCTCCCCACCTTGCAACGACAGAAGGAGTTCCTCCCATCAAAGCATTTTAGGATACCGCGCTCCAGGCAGGGAAACCGAGGCACAGAGGAGCGAGGATACCGCGCTCCAGGCAGGGAAACCGAGGCACAGAGGAGTCGAGAGAGTGACTTAAAAGGGCCGCAGAGCAAGTCAGCGGACAAACTAGAAGCACAGTACGCCATCCTGACCGAGACCCAGGCTTCAAGAGCAAGGCTGTGCTGCCTCCTTATAAGCTGCATGATTATACAGCCAAATTGGAGAGACTGCATACAGCGCTAAAGAAATAATACCATCTGGGTGCAGGAGTGCTGGACGGGCCTGGCACAGTTCAAACTCAACTGGGTCACGTGGCCTCTCAAAAAACTTTCCACGCTAAAAATAGCCAATAGCAAATGCTCTGCCTTATAAGCCAGGCAGGAACAGGAGAGGACAAAAAACCAATTGCAGCCAGGAGGACTCAAAGCCCCTCTGTAATAAGCAATTCAGATGAGATGACCTACTGGAAAGACATGCCCAAAGGAGTCCCCTACACCAGGCTGACTTCAGTGCAAGGCAGTCACCCTGGAAGATAAAAGCAGAGCTGGACGTTCGTAGTCAGCCCTCCGCGTGCACGTGACGGACGTGTGGGCTGTCTTCATATTCCAGTCCTTGCCTGGCCTTCTCTGTTTTCAGACAACCACGGCGGAAGGAGGAATCCTACCCAGGGCAGAAAGTGGCCCAAGGACAGGTGGCAGGGAAGGGCGAGGGTGTCCAGGCAAGCGGGACTCCGACATCGCATTGCAGGGCATCTTAAATTAAATCTACTCTCTGAACCCCTAAGCGTGCACGAGATCCACCGTTCAGAAACGCTGCCCCTGCTCTGCCAGGACATCCCTCCTACGTACAATTAAAGCACGCTCACAAGTTGTGAGCTCTTAAGAGTGAGTCAATAGTTATAAAAAAAGAAGTCCAGGGAAAAGAAAGAGAAAACGCAGAGTGGGAGACTCTGGAAAGACAGACTATTAGATTGGCTTTTGTGTTTTCAAGAACCACCGTTGAGCAATTCAGAGAGTTAACATCAGAGGCCTGAACGCTACAAACACCCATGATGCCCACTCTGCGAGCTCTCGCCCCCCCACCATCCTTGCACCTAGGTCCTGGCAGAACAAGGATGCCAGATCGGCAAAGTCTCGAGGAAGTCTCTTCTGCCAAACCCTCAGAGTAGCCTGCTACAGCAATGCCAACAGGAGCGCTCGGGATGCCAAGCAGAGTCCCCAGCACATCCCAACACCTTGCGCGTGCTCCCTCCTTCCGACAATAGGAGTTGACCCCTGAAAACACTTCACGTACTTCAGAACTCAGACCCATTTTGCAGAAGCATAAACAGAGGCACAAAGCACTCGAGAAACCAGGCAGGTGTTACACTAGATCAGCTGTGCAGCAGGAGCCCTCAACATCGTCCTGTGTTTTCAGTGCCGGACCAGGACGCAGCCTGCTGCTGAAGGTAAGCTGCTCTCCGCCTGGCCGGTGCCATTGCTCATCACGCCATGCCACGCTCCTTTCCTCCCAGTCTGAACGAGCTATGCCAATGCGACATATTTTACTAGCACTGTTTCCTTTTGCAGTGAGCTTGTACCATGATGCTCGCTCCTAGCACGAGAAATGAACGTGGCACCAGCAGGACTAGGACTATGCGCCGCTCTCAGGCTGGAGCAGAAGCGTTCGGGGCTGTTTTTTTTTTTTTTAAACAGGACAGCTGCAAGTGAGGGTTTGAAGTGAAGCATCCACACAGCTTTGCTGCAGGTGTCTTTAAAACAGGCACCAGGTTGAAAAACTTCCAACATGCAAATAGCAACTCGGGCCGTAACGCTTTCCTCACCAACTCACTACTACCCAGAGGCTCATGGTTGATGCACACTACCGAGCCCACTCCTCCCGCAATGCAACGCTCTCATTAACATTAACCCTATCATATGGTCTAGCTCCTGCTTGCTCTCTATATCCCATTACCTTCTCACCCCAGGCACTTCATTATTTATGATGCCCTCAGTTCAGCTGCTGGCCCCTAATGAATCCGGCACTCGCAAGGATCGACAAGATCACCGTCTCATCGCTTTGCCCAGCGCCACTGTATTTAGAAGATTAAGCCCTTGTAACAGGTGTGCACTTTTGGGAAGTAGTGGAAAGGTGTCTCCTAAATTCAAGGCATTAGCTTGCCAGCTGCTTTGGTTTAGACCCCGCACAGAGGATGTACTAACACATAACCACCCTTCAGGAGCCCAGGAACAACTACCTTCAGCACCGCAAGCACGCCAAGAAAGGGGTGCACTGCAAGCACAGCAGGCAGGCAGTCAATGAAGCCCTGCTCTCCCCGTGTCCTGAAGAAGCCCAGGGGAATGGCCTTGAACACAGAGTAGCTCAGGTGCACAGAGATGTCCTGACTGGGAGATGCCAGACCTAGACAGGCTGAACAGTAAGCTCCAGTCACCTCCCTTCCCAGGGTTTCCTGACCATGAAATAAATAGATGCTCTTTTAATCAGTAGCTGCCCAAGCAGCCAAGAGGCAGCACTCTGCATTCCCCGATTGCCAATGGCAAACAACTTTTTAAATCCGTGATCAGCTAACATACCCGACAGTTCCTGGACTCCAACTTCTTCCCACTCCTCGTTTCCACGCCGCTTGGAGGAGAAGAGTCTGTTTCCAGAGCATATTCACGGGTACTAGGTACATCTAGTGCTTCAGCGCTGTCTGGCACTGTTGGAAGTAATAGCGGCTTTGCCAGCCACTTCAATAGATGCTGGTTCAGACACTCGGCCAGGCCTGTCGTGTTTAGCTAGGAAATGAAACCCAGCAAAAAGCAAACAGCATTTCAAGGCAGTCAGGCGATGCAAACTGTGCCTGCCTCTGTACAGATAAGCCAAACGCAAATTCGGGGACAGAAGTAGCCACTTCTTCAGCATACTTTGCCTCAACGTGCAAATAAAGGCTGACTAATTCGAGCCAACAGGTGGAAGGAAGAGGCAGAGAGCCAGCCCCCTCCGCGGGAGGGTTTTGTTAGAAGTGGCAATGTTAATGGGCACGTAGGTGCTGCTCTTTACAGACAGCAAGAGCTACTTAGCCGATTTTACCCTGCAACAAGTCCTTGATAAACAGCGCCTGGAAACAAAGCCTGAACCGAGCCCGCACAGAGGAGAAAACGATTAGAAGCCGTGTTGCTCTGGAGTCGTGCCTGGCCCGGCGAGACCCCGCCGCAGGAGCGGACAAAAAAAGCCTCAAGTGCCTGTGAAAACCCAAGTGCATTTTCTACTTTTTAAGTTCAGAAGAGGGAGCAAAGGTCTCAGGACCCAATACAGAGCTTGGGGCTTGCATTAAATGATGCAGTGGTGACAACGGAGCAGAGACCTTGCAGGAAGCTGTGCCGTAGATCAACCGGGGACAGACTTCGATCGCAACAGCACCTACAAATCCCAACGCAGACAGGGATCTCTCTGCATTAGGTGCCACCCATGGTTTTTCACATACAACATCCCTAAACAACACGCACTGTTTTGGGAAGGTAGAATTTAAAAGGGGGGCTTTTTCCAGAGTCACCAGCAACTGCGAGACATACAACACATCCTCCTGGGAACTTGGGGTGCACCACAAACTTCTTGATGCCAGCTGCCTCATCCAGACCATCTCCTAAGCTGCCACACTTTCTGGATGCTACATTTCTAAGAGGATGTACTGTGCATTACCCCTTTGCAAGGGCAGCGGCAAGGCTGTTATTATAACTCTTTACCATGAGAAGTTCTTTTAAGTTAATAAAAAGTGTTTCCACATTGCAAGCCTCGCTTCTGCTTCAGGCACAGCCAATAACGACGATTGAGGGGGGTAACAAAGGACTCCACCCTCTTGGCAGCTGCCTGACATGCACATCCTTGTCTCCAGGCTTGCTTTTCCACCGAAGAAAACAGCCTCCCCACTTAAAGCACCCCAAAACTAGGGGGAATTTGGGGGAGAGGTATAGGTTGTATATGAGAAACTACAATATCCCAATAGTGGGAGAGGCCTAGATGGTCTTGAAAAGCTTGCAGTCTACATAAGACAAAGAGAAGCAATATTAAACAGTCCCATTTTAAGAGGCGGGGGGGCGGAAACTGAGGCAAGCTGCTTCCTCTCCTTGTGCCAAGAGCACACGGGACACCTGTAGCAGCTTCACGAAGTGAAACAGATCTCTTGAACCCCAGGCCACAGTGTTAGCATCACACCACCCTCCTGCCTTACGGGAGGGAAGGGTGCCCAACACACCTGCTAAAGGATGGTCTGCCCCCCACTGAGGTCAACAGCATGATTGCAATGAAGGTCAGTTTTGAACGTGAACCTTTTAGTTCACCTTGGGCATAAGGAAGGGAAGATGATTGCAATGAAGGTCAGTTATGCCCAAGGTGAATCAAAAGGAAGGGAAGCAGCAAGCGGCGAGCAGGAGCGGACGGCAACACTTTCGCTCCCTCGTGCAGGGTCTAGGCTCTCCCGAGCTGCCAGCTCACAAAGTGTCATCTCTGGAAAGCTGAGGCCCTGCACAAGTGGCACACGGATCACAAGGCTTCTCCAGGAACAGCTGCTACTTATACACTGGAAGTCACAAATTCAGTGGTCACAGACGACGAATCTCTCCACCTTACTGCCAGGTGGTTGGAGAGATTAAAGAAACCTCCCATGCGAGCTCCTTAGAAGGAGAGATCCATTTCTTCTTTGAGGAAGTGAAGACAATGCCTAACCACAAGGCATGGTCTAGAAGTCCTCATTTGACTTCTAGCAATGGTAGGCAATTTTGATGTGGCAGCAGGGGGGGAAAAAAAAAAAAAGTTAAACCCACATCATGAAGCACAAGAAAGCCTTTTTTAAGCATTCAAACCCACATACAAACACAGCCTGGACAGTCAGACAGCTCGCAGTTTTGAGGCAGAGCAGATTCTGGATGCATTACTTAAAATTACGCTTCAACTCCTTAGAAATAGCAAGCACTCGCCCTCAAAAAAACCTAGATGCTTTAAAAAGGCACCTCAAATGACCAGTTGCTTCTGACAAGATACTTGGTTGTATGTATATAAAGAGAGAGAAATGCTCATCATTGACATCAGTTTTTAAATAGGAAATCAAGGAGTCCCTGTTAACCGTCTAAGTGTTTCATTACTTCTATCGATTGAAAAGAGCATTTCAAAGGGCAACACACATCTGCTTATTCAAGAGCTTCACAGACAGCAAAATTACCCTAATAAGTGTATGGCTTACAGCAGGGAAGGGCACCGGGAGGATGAAAGCTGCAGATAAATAGGGCTGTGGCATTAAACAACATTTGTGTTCCTCTCACAGAAATCCTGCCATTAAGCGGTACCTGCTTTCAAAGGACCTCCTTGAAGGTAACCTTCCCCCCCGCAACTCCCCCTTCTCAAAAGGGATTCAAGCACTTCAGTGACTTCGAGTCTTAAGGTCAGACCCACAAAAGGCACTGTGGTGCCCAAATCCTACAAAATTTCAATGAGGCCTTGAGCACTTCTCAAAGTTTCACACCCAGGCTATGAGCAGAAATAACTCGTAACCGCTTTAAGAAGAGGGCACACTAGCTAGGATAATAAACCTGTTGCATTTGCAGCCATACAACAGAGCTTAAAACAAATCAAATCAAATCACTGCAACTGTAACCTTGAATAAAACAGGGCTAGAGTTGAAAGTATTCTGCAACATCGGTATCCCTACAGATGCATCCACTGTAAAATCCTATGTGAACATCACTTGGTACCAATAAAACAATTACGCTCCACTACAGTCCACGCATCTGAACTGCCCTCCACCACCCTACACACAGCTTAAATCCTTAAAACATTAAAGAAAAGAGGCTGGGCTCGGGCTGTAACCCTAAATAAAATGCTTTCTAGATGTTTGCAAAGCACCCAGCACAGCTGAACTCCAGTCTTGGCTAGAGCAACAGCCAGATCGTGTGCGGTATTGGTAGGCCGCAGCCCTGTTGTGCTAGGTGCCGAACGAGCATGCTGCGAGCTACAAGGTCTGGATCAAAAGCTTACAAGCCAAGCGGCCAGCACGCTGGCAGCTGGAGCAGACACGATCAGGAGACCAAGGTGGCTTTACAACCTTGGCGACGCCGAGAGGTTAGAAGGCAGCATGCTCTGCTCCTATCCACGCCAGAGATGACGGATCCCAGCCTGCAGGGCCATCGAGCCAGCTCTTCCCGCGAGCACTAAGGGTGCACGAGGATTTTCACAAGCACTGCAAAGAAAGCGCTCAGCAACACCACACCAGAAATGGAAGCGGGGGGGAGCCGGCATTTTGGTGCCAGGATAGGAAGTCTCGATACACAGCAAGCAGCGGAGGGGCTCGTGACTGCGGTTCGGTCAGCAAAGAACTGAGACGGGGGCTTGATCTTTTGGACCTGCTCTGAATTTTGCACTGGGTTGGTACCGAAATGCAAGTCAGTTATTCAATTACAACCACGCTTCGGCAATTTGCATACGAGCCTGAGGAGCTTGTAACATTAAGAAAAAAGTAAAAATACTTTGAAGCGCTTTAAGTTCACCGACTGAAAAGCACCAAGAGCACAGGTGTAGCAGCTGCCCCAACAGGTATTTCGCCCATTATGCAAATGGCTCAGCTAGGGGACAAAGAGCAAGCGACTTGCTCAAGGTCACACAGCAGCAAAGCGGCTATCACCGCTCCCAAGCCCCGCGCTGCTCAGACGCCTTCTCCGCGGAGGACAAGGCACGCTGCCTCACGGAGCAGCTGTACCATGCTCCAGCAGGTCACATGCTCTCTCCTTCCCATTTCACCGCCCGGCTCCTGTGGCTGGGGCTCGGAGTAGATGATTCACAGACGCAAAACAAACAGGAGACGTGAAGTTAGCCTCTTTTCCTATCACTTTCCCCAGCAACAGGTCCTTTCCTTTCACCAGAAGCAAAGTCCACAGGCCTTTTGATAACACTGGCCAGACATCAGCAAGCCAAACGCCTTCCAAACAAGCCAGGCTGGCCCTTGCAGTGTTGAGAAGTCAGTGCTACCATCACTCTCGCACCCTCCGGTCTTCCTGAACACGTGGCCAGCAGAGAAACACGTGATTTAGGATATCGGATAGCAAAGCACCCACGAAAAGACAGGCCCTAAGGACACATCTCGCAGCCCCCTCCTTGTACGCCCTCAACTCGGAGCGAGCGCCGCCGCGCGTCTCTACCTCCCGCCGACAGAAGTTCAACTTGCAACTTGAACGAAACAACTCTCCCCGGGCAGCCAAGCCGATCGAGTGCTGCCGAGCCGGCTTTGCACATCCTCCAGCATTACGCCAGCCTTCGAGGGAGGCAGAGGTGGTGCGAGGACCCGAGAGGCGCTAGCTAATTTGCAGCCTGTCGGCGCCCGGAGGGTGCCGTCCTGCCCGCGCCGTGCAAACGCGGGCAAGTCTTTACTCGCGCAGCCCCGGCGTTCGGTGGGGTTGCATCACTGCCGAAAGGGCGCCTGTAGCCCAGGCATAGGGTTTCCTCCACGAAGGAACCGTTCGCACGCGGTCGTGGAGGCGGCGCTCACGCAGCGCCGCTGCCTGGGCTGAGCATCTACCAGGGACCCCTGGGCCCGCTCCTTTCTTGGGGAGTCTGGGGAGGGGGATCCCCATGACTTGCTGTGGGTCTGGGGGGCCAGGAGGAGACCCCCCCCCGCCCCCTCCGTGGCTGGGGGTCGGGGGGGCCGGGAGGAGCCCCCCCCCCGCCCCGTCCCCCCAGAGGGTGGGCAAGGGGGCTCACTTAGCTCATGCACCCGCAGCCAAAGCAGGCGGGGATGGGTGTGGGGGGGTGACCGTGACCTTGACCCCCCCCAGCTCCGGCGGGGAGGGGA